TTCAAGTCAGAATGCACACACAGCTGGATATTCAAACCCCAGGTTAAATTTTGTTTTCTGACACATCACCTGTTTTGAGTTTGAAAATAAGACTGTGCTGTGAAAGATATTCAAGAAAGAGAAATATGCAGTAATGAAAAAGTTCACTTCTTTGACCTAACTACTACCAGACCCTTGGGGGAAAAATGTTTCCCTTTATCTCTGAAATCAACCTGTAGAAGTTTCAGTTCCTGAGGCAGGTATAACTACAGTTGCTATGTATGCTATTAAAACTTCTGCAAAGCCATTTTTCTTGAAGGGTAAGAAAATTGTTTGGGGCTAAGTTGGGACTAGTTTGATTGCCTCTGATATAAACATCTCTGAATTATATTTTCTTACATGCACAAGTAACCTAAGAACCTCAAATCAACGAAGAAAGCAGATTGACTAGGCACAATAGACTTTTTTTTTTTTCAAAAGCAAAATTGAGTACAATAATAACAGCTTTCAGAAACTGTGAAAATGTCAATGCAAGGAAATTAGTTCTAACACAAGCCAAGCTATGGAATCTTATTGAAAAAAAGTCTCATTTGAACATGGGACATTTAAGTACTGAATGTATAAGGGTAAACACAAGGAACTCACAGGAAGCCATTATTTACAATAAGAAAAAAAAGCACATTGTAACGATTATAGATTTGAGTGCAAAATATTTTGCCTGATTTTTGTTTCATTGCCTCTTTGTCATTGGGAGGCCTGTCTGATGATTTGGGTAAGTCTTATGGGTGAATATCTTTGTGTTTGCTCAGCAGAGAACAACAGTTGCAATATGTAAATAGGGCGCCTCTTCCTTTTGGATGCCTTGGGATATGTATAATAGATTAAGTTGGCTTTGTGCAGAGCAAACAGGTCTGTATTACCAAGAATATGAATAATGTCAGCTTCCATAATTGCTAACATCTGGCTTTCCATAAATCTGTTAAATTGCATGGAAGCAGAATTAGATTTCTGTGTCATAAGTAAAGCAATTACATGGAACTCCGTAGGCAATATGGTCCTATATTCAACTGTGAAACTCTTTCATTCTGGAGAGGTGAAAGCAAATCCTGCTTTTGCACCCTATGTTTATTATGCATGCTAGGTACATTTGTCTTTATGCTCATTTTTTTTTTTAAATTTACAAGAGAAATACACTGCCAATATGTTTGCAACTTTGTAAATGCAAAATAACCAAATATTTGAAAAGCATATTATACTTTGCATTAATTGCTAACTTGGAGATTATTTCAGAGGAGATCATACAGTTTAGATCCTTTTGTAGGCACTGGTAGTGGATTGGCTGAAATTGAATGTCCAGAATATTTTTGGAGTGATTTGTTAATGGGTTTTCATCTGCTCATATTCTCAAACATTTGACAGGAAAATGGAGTGCTTTTTTTCTGGGGATGAGAGTTGTCTTCCTATCTCAGTGTGTTACTATTTTGCTGTATTATTCTACTTTAAACTAGACCCAAAGAGCTTTCACAGATGAGAACTTAATAACAAAATGATTTCTCTAAAGAGTAGGCTTTGCTTATGCCTTGTGCTCATTGAATATTCTAAAGACCAAATTTCAGTACAGTGGGCTTTATAATAGTACTAATTTGTGAATTTCCTGGATTTGGTTAATTCAGTTAAATGAATATACTGACCATCCACAGTATTTTATGTTGTTGTTGTTGTTTTGTTATTATTGTAGCACTGGGAAGAGAAAGAGAAATGAAATGTAGTCCTTGCCCTCAATGTTCTCACTGTCTATGGAGATGGACATATTAAATATGTAACTCTTTAGAGTTGACCCATACTATGGAATTGTGTATAAAGTACATAGAAATTAAAGTCTATATTGGCTGTCTAGCAGAATGAGGGATGATGATGGTTAATCTGTAAATCTGGCTTTTGAAGACTGTGTAGAATTGAAGCTAACAGAGTAAAGAAAGTACTTCTCAATTAACTTATTAATACCTCACCTCATTCCATAGAGATTATTAAAAGTACAGAAAATATATGTTCCAAGACACAAACACAGAAATGGCATGGTCTGTTTGTGATCTTCCATTGAGATTATATATGTATATATATATACACACACACACATAAACACAGATGTGCAAAAATTACATATATTTATGGTATACAACATGATATTTTGAAATAAATATTTATTGTGAAATAGCAAATTTAAGTTAATTTATGCAATGCTTCACATACTTCCATTTCATTGTGGGAACACAAATTGTACTCTCAGTAATTTTCAAGAATACATTACATTGTTAACTGTTAACTGCGGTCACCATGTTGCACAATAGATATTGAACTTATTTCGCCTAACTGAAAATTTGTATTTATTGCTTTTGAATAAAAGAAGGAAGGAAAGAAGATAACAATTGAAGTTTTCAGAGTTTACATGAAATGCTGATAGCTTGAATTATCTATTATAAGCACTTTCACTAGAGAAATACTGAAAGGTGGTGAGCAGAGGAGTGACACAGACAGCCTGTTTTTTAACTGCCACTATCCTATGGAAGATATTGAGATCAATGGCTCTCACCTGCCTGAACAGAGCCCAGATATCTGGATCCTACTTTATATCAATAAAATCAGTTCCTAGGGGTGGTAAGTTAGAGCATTGGTACTTATACAAGTCTACAAATATTTCCACTGTGCCTACAATAAAAAATCAGTATATTAGAATGACAACTGGCTGGAGGGTGAATTGAAGGCTAATGCTAAGTCTCTCAGTAATGAATATGAGGATTGTAACCAACAGCTTGAAGAAACCTGAATTTTATTATTTTATTTCCTACGTAATGTCACGTCTATCTCTCTCTCTCTATCCATCCATCCATCCTTCTGTCTATCTATAGATGTTCCTAGATAATACAAACTAGGTTATAAATATAATCATAGAAATATAAGGCTGCATATTTGTAATTAAGTTTCTTTCAGCAAAATTTAGGAGTAAGAATAATGGAAATGTGTGCATTTAGTGTTGTTCCAAAATAGTATGTGCCTGAATGCTAAGCCATATTCTACCAACTGTTATTGCAATTGGAGTTCAAAAGAGGTTAGTGATTATTGCAAATTAGCATCATATTAGCAGATGATTATCTGAGAAGGTGGAGCTTGAACTTGGTCTTTAATGTTTACCTTTATTAAGTCAAGAAATCATGTAATTGACCTTATTATATTATCCATATTGTAATTTTCAGGAGACTGTGGATTGGGTAATATTATACATGTAGACGATAAAGGAGATTAAATAGGCTAAATGATGTGTCCTAGGGCTTAGTCTTGTGATGTGTAAGGTGAGTTGGACATGGTAAACACTGAATTAAAAGGAAGTGTTTGGTTTCAAACATGAGTCCCCTGATTTCTTCATTCAATGCTAATTTCAGTTGGAAGAATTAGAATTGGAGAAGAATAATGAGGAGATGAGTGAGACAACTAGAAAGGAGCATCGTATGTTAAGTGCATTCAAAATGGAATGGACATGACCAGTGACCCTGAGTGGGGAAAAGGAGAGGGATGTCTGACTGTGATTGATTTAGAATCCAGGCATCATAATTTGGGATCATTACCATAGTCTTCAAAGATAGAATCACTGTTCATTAACTAGGCCCAGGATACAATCCCTGTTCTAATGTGTGCTAACTGTATGACCAGTTAACCTCTCTGTACCTCAGTTTGCCCTTGTGAAATGAGAATAACTATTTGTCTTATGATCTTATAGTATAACTCATGAAAAATAACTTTGAAAAGCTGTGGGACTATATATGCACATATAGTTTTATGTTATATGTGTGTATGTATAGACATATATGTATTGTAATTCTGGCAAAATTGATATTATGCCAGAAACGGCTCTATGAACTTTTGTGGAACATACCACTACTGATTTTTTTTTTAGGTTCTGTTCCATTATCCTTAACCACATGCTTATAACTTTACACATAATTGAAGATAAACTTTAGGATGTAGAATAAGTTATTATTGTAATATTCTGCCAGTCTACAGGTATCAAGTCCAGCAATTAGTATTTTATCAATAGTCACCTATGAGTACTTCTGTAACTTCAACGAGTAGAAGTTACTGGGTAATCTATTTTATCTCAAATGAAGGTAGACATTTCTTTTTTTTTTTCTTAAGTCTTCAAAGGTGGAATCTTCTGCCTTGTGAGGTAATGTATTGACTGCTTGGAAGCAGTACAAGCCAGGGCTGGACAGGTATGTACGTGGCTGAGATGATGTTAGGGTCACTCAAGCTTTAACGGTCAGAATGGACTGACTGGATTTATGTTTTCCTTCAACCTTTGGCTTTCAGTTAAAACAGCACCTATATATATATATATATATATTTTATCAGCATCCACACCATGCCCTACTGTAGCTATGATATTTTTTTAAGGGGAGCACAAGTACAGCTGGCCATTAGAATGAAAGCATTTGATCAGATAAGATACCTGCTAAGAATTATTCCCACTTCTTTTAGCCTTGACTTCAGGATCTTGGGGCAATCTAATTGGGACAGGTTGCCCTAATTGCTCACTTGTTCCTACTCAGTGGCTTATCTATGCACACATTTTCTAAAAGACTTAGGTCTCCATGGGGTGTATCTACAGCTAATGAATTAACAGTGTTTATGGCCACTGGATAGATGAGTTCTTGAACATATCCTAAAGGCAATTCATAGCTGCTACTGGGTATACTGGTAATTGGAATCAAGCGCCAATTTGGGTCTCAGACTAGCCACTTCCTAACTGTATGACAGCAGATGCGTAATTTAACTCTAAGAACCTCAGCTCTATTATTTGCAGAATAGGACAAGAACAGATCCTTCCACAGGGAGCTGCTTTGCAGAGTAAATGAGATAATACATGTTACCGATCTAGCACAGGTAAATGCTCAATAATTGTAGTTGATGTTTTTGCACATTGTTGTTATTTTCTGAGATTCTCAAGTTCCATGATTTATTTTTTGCAGACATTGATGAATGTGCCTTAAGAACTCACACCTGTTGGAATGATTCTGCCTGCATTAACTTGGCGGGGGGCTTTGACTGCCTCTGTCCCTCTGGACCCTCCTGCTCTGGTGACTGCCCCCATGAGGGAGGGCTGAAGCACAATGGACAGGTGTGGACCCTGAAAGAAGACAGGTGTTCTGTCTGTTCCTGCAAGGTGAGGCTGATGTGCTGTAGCAGAATTGTCATTGTTCTCTACCTTCCCCTTCACCTCTGCCTCCTCACAGCTCTCCCACTGGCTGTTGACCTGTGGCTCTCCTGTGGCTCCTGAAAAGGCTTCTCCTGTTCTAATCCACAATACAACTAATGAGGATGCTGAAGGGCAGGCAAATCTCCTGTGAATTGATTGGTCTCTTGGTGAAAAGTGAGGTGTAGAGTTGACAAGAGACTGCACAAAGGGGTAGCAGGGGGCAGGGAAGTCAATGTTGATCCTCCACTGAGAGCCGGCAGGTCCTTTAAGGTTGTTGGGTGAGAGGTTTAATGAGCACTCCACCTACACTTACAGAAACTTGCTGATTAAAACAACTCTTTGTCTGCAACCATCTCCTGTGTGAACCTGCTCATTTTTGTGGTAACATCAGTCAAAATTCAAGGCTCACAGACTTGCCGCCTCGTGGTCAGAGACAGGTGGACTTCCATTCCAGACACATTATAGTGATAGTGCGTAGCCCCTTAGTAATTGATGTCTTCTTTATAATTTTCAGTGCTGGACTATTTATTACAGTAAGTTGTTTGGAAGGGAGTTTTAATGCTTATGAAAATAAAATTCTGTCATCATGTGGTTTTTACTTTATGCTTTGCAAAATGGGCCTATTAAAGTGTTTGATTTTCTTGTGCTTTACTTCTTCTTTGTGAATCGCACATATTTATTTTCCTTTGTTATTGTACTACTGTAGTTCTTGCTTGTATTTCTGTGCCTATTCGGATGAGACTAATTAATCTTGGGCTTTATGGGCATGGTAACCAAGAGAAATTACTTGCTTAGTTGCCTCTTTAAAAGTTAGGTCTACTGATAAATTCTTACTCTACTCCCTAGACACAGAGCTAGAATGAGCCTTAAGAATCTATCCTTCTACATTTAAGTCTGTCACACCTCAACAGACCTGAGGTAGCCTATGTAGTAGAGCTATATTACCAGGTCTATACCCTATAACATTTGTTCCCCCCTCTTAAAATTACACTTCATTCCACACACAAAAATTTTTTCCCAGGATTTATTGAGCACATGCTATACTTCAAGAATCCTATAGTTATAAAAATAGCATCCTGTTTTAGTCTTTTAGCACAACTTTGAAAGATGAAGAAACAGTCTCTAGGGAGTCAAGTAATTGTCGTAAATATGGAATATTTATATAAGCACCTGCGTTCCTCTGGCATACCCCAACATTGATAGTTTCTTCCATATTGTCAGATGTCGGTAACATTCTATAATGATACTCACTACTATATTTTAAATTAAATAGGCAATCTGTCAATCCAATCTATTTGAACTAAAATTGTCAATTCAGTATTATCTTAGCAACTGTTGGGACATTCTTTCAAAAATGTTTTAGTTATTTAGTATAATATTTAGTAATGCAGTGCTGACTCAAAGGACAAAGGATTTCAAGAGGAAGAAAAGCACTTTATGGATTAATATAGTGGTGAAGGGTAAATGGAAGAAGTTAGCAATAGGGCCCCTGTTCAGCCAGCAAAATGGGGATGAATTTAGTTTTTGAGAAAGAATTGTGTTTCCAAAGTTTTTGAGGATGGTTACAACCTGAACTGAAGTCCTTTTAAGATTTTCTAGGTCATCAGATCCTGAAATAGGCAAGGGACTTTAGTTGTATATTGACTACTGTGAGAGAGACCAAACTTCTCTTTTAAGTTTTTGTTTCATTTCAGTCCATGATAAAGCAAAGAACCTACCAATCATTAAACATTTCCCAGGGCTTCATTAATTAACTGTGTTAATAATCCAAGCAGTCTGATTTATTTCATTTCGACTCCTAAAGTATCTCCAAAGTCTTATGAGAATTAGACTGAAATTGCCACAGGAGATGAGCAATTCTTATAATCTTATTTTGTTAATAAGATGCACCTCTATTACCACCACCATCTCCCTCTTATCTGAATAAAGTATTAGGAAGATTTCCTTCCATAAATCTTTCTGTTGCTGTTGTTTCATTTTCTAATTGAATTCATTACCCATTTATAGAGAGCATCATTTTAGGAGCTGATAAAGCACCTCAAATCAATTCTAGAAGTCATCCTTATAAAATGAACTATTGGTGACCCTACTTTTTGTTTTTAACATTTGCAGTCCAAACTGTCCCATTTCAATTTTACAAGAAATATCTCCAGTACTTAAGTATCCAAATGGACAATTATCCTGGTATCATTTTGGAAGCTGTGAAATAAAATCAAGGTTACAATATAAAGTGTTCTCTTTTCAGTCCTATCCTTGATGCTTTAAATTCAAATTAAAACAAATCATACAGCACAGAATCACATAAGCTAACAAAGGATCAAGGGTCACTATTGAAAGGAGCAGAGTCAGAGTTCTTGTAAAAGGTCATCCCAACCACCTCCACAGAGTAAATACACCAGGTTAGTTAGTACTGTTTGATACCAACTGGAAGAAAGGCCTTGAAGCATGTCCACAGATGAATGGAGTTCAGTGATAAAGCTAGGTCAGTAAAAATGGATTTGAGCTTTTGTTTAGATTCTTTGTGTTTCCTTTAGGTCACTTAGTTCATTGGGCACCAGGAGACTGGTTAAATTACCTGGAACCCAGGTTCTTTCAGCATTATCTAGATCCCAGAAAACCAGGTGAAAAAGTTGTCTCTGGGTTTGGTACATACATCTCAGTTATAGCCCAGCTTCTTTTTATAGGTACCCATATGTGGCCTTTCCATTAATAAATTGGTCCAGGGCCTTTGAAAATCATATTTATATTCTATTTTGGTTACATGGAAAGGTCCTAGGTTTATTAGTTCCTATGAAATGCAGCATTTTATTATAACTATTTGTGTTCTTATTGGGGATCATGGAGATGGAGAAGGAAGTGGATATATAATTAAACACCTGTCACTCTGTTAAAGTCTGAGTCATTGCTATGGGAATATAGAAAATGAAAGGTATGTTGTGAGAGAATTAAAAAGGAAATATAGGAAGGCTTCACAGAGAAGATAACCCTGAATAGGATCCTAAAGAGAAATTTAGCTCAGGAGAGAAGTGAATTCCAAACAGAAAAAAACATAACAGCAAACATGCAGAAGCATAAGAATATATGTTATGCTAGATGTAAGAAGAAAATTATGGGATACAGGGAAAAGTATGGGAAGGTAATAGTTGATCATGAGCCTAGAGATAAAGGCTGGATGGAGATGGAGTAGGGCATGAATATGTCATCCTGTAGGCAGCAAAGGATTATGATTGGAATGTCTTGTTATTGGTCTGATTGACAGCATGATAGATGGCCTGAGGAGTTAGACTGAGATAAAGGATCAAGAAAGTGAAGGTTAAAATCTGAAAGAGGAACTGTCAGGTGAGATCACATGAGAGAAAACACAGAAGTGAAATAATGTGTTTTGATAACTGATTATGTCAGAGACTGAGCTTCTGTTTTTATGGCTTCTCTATTTTAGGGGCAAAAAAAATCTTCATAGAGGTTTGAGACTTAGTTTTTTTCCTAGGTGAATAGAATCTATGTACCACTAAGAGAAAGCCAAGGTTTGTAAGTTGGGCATTTTTACACTTGATGTTAGCTTCTATTACATCTACTTCTCCATGTACACGTTATATCCACACCTACTACCATGGTAGGCCACTCTGTTTATTATTTCTTTCACTATTTTCAGTTAACCACAGTCAATCACAGTTCAAAAGTATCAAATTGAAAATTCTAGAAATAAAAAGTTCATAAACTTTAAATTGCCTGTTGTTCCAAGTAGAGAGCTGAATGCTTGCACTATCCTGCTCCATGTAGCCTGGGATGTGAATTATGCCATCATGCAGGGTATCTATGGTGTATATGCTACCTGCCCATTAATCTCTTGGTAGCCATCATGGTTATCAGATAGACTTTGGTGGTATTATAGTGCTTGTGTTCCAAAACATCTTGTTTTGTAGCCTAAGACTATATTACAATACCATTTTTGTTTACTTCATATAATCATTTCATCTTGTGGCATAGTATCACCTCACATCACCACAAAAAGTATAAGTACATCACAATAAGATATTGGGAGCAAGAGACACTGTATGCATATAACTTTAATTACAGTATATTTTTATGTTGTTTTGTTATTATAATCTCTTACAGTGCCTAATTTAGAAATTAAACTTTACTATAGGTATGTATGTATAGTAAGAACAATATATATGAGATTTTGAACTATCCATGGTTTCAGACATCCACTGGAAGTCTTTGAATGTATCTTCCATGGATTATAGGGAACCACTGTGGTATCATTAATAACTGGAAAATCTGGTGAAAGAAAGAGGAAATAAAACTATGAAGGCTAGATTTCATTTATTTGCTTTTATTCAGGTTTTTTAAAAGTGAATAATATTCATTCTCTAACTAAATCCTAAATACTAGAGCAGAACCAAGTCTTGAGTTTTTCTGGGAACTATAAAAATGAGTATTTAAAGGGATACCATAAATAGCAAATCATCTATCTTAATAAAATCACAAACTTCTGTGATAGCACAGAAAACAAGGGTGAAATGGAGAAAATCTTGGACATGAGGCTCTCTGAACTGATGACCGTTTCCCCTGACTTTATTTGAACTTTTTCTCAGACACTGAGGAAGGTAACCATACTAGCAACACCTAACGGACTCAAGCATCTCTTTCTAACAAGAAGAGAAGACACTGGTCTGCAAGGAGCTATCAAAAAAAATGACCCTTCCATCTTAATTGTACTCACTCATGGTATGAAGATGAGAGATGAGTCAGTCTGTGCCTGGGGCCAGGGTAAATAAATTAGGTATTAGATTCCTGCAACCTACTCATAAAGATATTTTACTTTGCTCTTTGAACTCGACCAGGAACATTATCAATATTTTGTTGTTTATAGTGCTTTTGATGGCAACACTTGGATGTTCAGGCCTTCAGATCATGTTTCTCATTTTTTCAAAGGTGAACATATTGGCAGGTTTTATTGAGCTCCCAAATCTCTAGAGGTTTAGTCAGAATACAGGATCTCCATTTCTGTTTCACCAACTTTATTCTCCTAGGGTAATGTTCCAGATCCCTCCTTTCAATTGTAAGAGGCTGAGAGTCATGACATGATAAATTCTCAGTTGATCAGGTTGGGTTGTTCCCCCGCTCTATGGTTCTGAGACTTTTCTTACTCCACAGTCACCTAAAGGGCTGTGAATCCCCAATCACTGGCGTCTCCCCCAAGAATTTAGGGTGGAGCATGATAATTTGCACTTCTAACTAGTTTCTAGGGGATACTAATGTTCCTGGTTGGAGGACTGTACTTAGAGAATTACTACCTCAAGAATCCTCCTGCTCCTGGTTTCATTTTAGCTGAAATCATTTTTTCCTACCCTCTATCATTCTCTAGATACAAGAATGTGTAGTGGTAGAAAAACATTGTTATAAAAGCCAGATTGGGTCTAGATTCTATTTTGTTATTAATTTCTACATGGAAAAGTCATTTCCCCCTCACTGGGCCTAGTTTCCTGCTTTATTAAAATGATCATCAAAGATGTTTTGACCCTAGGAACTAATAAGAAATACTAAAAAACAATTCGTGAGCTATGCTGTGACTTAATGGCAAAATTAACACTTGGTTTAAAAAAAAAAAAAAGATTGGAAAGCACAGCCTGACTCATGTGAGGAGGGATAAAAATAGGTTTGGAGCACTACTCCTAATTTTACCTAATTTATAGTTTATACCAAGGATCAACAGACTTTTTTCTATTGAAGGACAGGAGTAAATATTTTAAGCTTTGCAGATCATAAAATCTCTGTCCCAAATACTCAGTTCTGCATTGTAATGCTAAAGTAGCCAAAGACGATATGTCAATGAATGAGGGAAGCTATGTTCCCATAAGACTATTTTCAGAAGCTGGCAACAGGCTAAATTTGGACTTGGACATCAGTTTGCCAACATTCAGTTTATATTTTTATTCAGTTTACCTAAATAATTTCATCTAAGTCCACCTCCTTGATTTAAAGTTTTCAGAACTCAATGGCAGAAAAAAAAAATTGCCATATTATGTTATCTGAAGTATTGCTACAACTGTGTCGAATATGCAGTTTAAAAATGTATAATTTATAATACAAAATCTATAATTTCCATGGCATAATAAAAATAAATCATTTTTAAAATTTCTACCAAATTATATGCCCGTTTTCAAAAATTCAGAAAATGTACATAAATATTATGATACCTACAGTTTACAGTTGAGCTTTTATTATAAAACTGAATGAAAAGACTTAGCTTCTGAGGCAGAAGAGAGGGGAAATAAGATCTTTGGAATTTGAATTGGGATTGATCTGTCCAACGCAGCTGGGAAAGAAGTCCAACTCTGGGAAGTGACCCAGTGGTCTGTGGCAAGAGGGCCGACTCACCATGGTAGGCTCCATTCCCTTCCCATATTTGGTTTCCTGTGGGGTTGTGCACTGTGAACTGTGCTGTCCTAATCATGTTCTCATTGAATTCATGGAGGCACCTGTGACATTTTCATTATTAAAAATGGTTTTTCTTGACAGCTGCCCCGTAATTCAAAGCCAAAGTGAACATAGCCATTGTTCTGAAACACCATAGAAGCTAAGAAGGGCCCATTTGGTATTTTCACATAATTGATGAGATAGGAAATTGCTTTATTTTGCACTTACTCTGGAGGCTATCCATTCATTTTTATTCCCTTTTATTTAATCAGCACATGGCAAGAAACCTGGCATTCTGATTGGGTCCCTTTGCCAAAAGTATAGTAAACTCTTCCAAGAGAATTTACCCTCTTATTTGATGCTGGGATTGGACTTGGGCATGTTGGTTCCTGGGACTTAGTCCTTCTCTCCTTGGGAAGAGTCTTATAGTGCCATAGACAATGGAGCTGACAAAATGGTTTCTTGTTGTTGCTCATTACATTTCTTAGCTTTGGTTGGATAAAATGAATTCCCAGGAAATCATTTGGGGTCATGACTTCATAAGGTAGAGGAGTGAATTAAAGTAATGTTCAGCTGTAAGCCAAAAGACTATTGTTAGAAGTTTCTTGGAATCTGGATACCTCTTTGTCCAAGCTACATGAATTCTCTGACCTCTGAGTCTCTTTTCTCTCTCAATCTGTATACATTCTTGCAAACACACAAGTATCTCTATGTGTATTATCTCTCATTTCCTGATATTTTCAGAATACTGTGACTTCTTTTCATTCTCTATAGTATAGACAATAATACAATTTGAGGGAAAGCACTTTTTTCCAACTATTAAGTCATTACATATGTAGCTAGTATCTCCTTTTCATTCTCTATAAAGAATGTGAAGCTTTGTAAAGCTTTCCACTTTAGCTGACACTACATTTATCTTAGGAAGCCCTGTCTGATGCAGCATTGTTAGTTATGAAGTAGATGAAGACCCTGAGGGCAGGTCCATCAAGTCTGCAGATGTCACTAAGCTGTGAAGGAAGGCATTCATGCTGTATGACAGAAACAGCATTTAAAAAAGATTGTGGCAGGAAGAAGAGATGAGATGGATCTAACAAAGTGCAATGCAGTAGGGATAAACACCAAGTAATATATTTGCTGACTCTAAACAACCAAACTTACATGATGGGATAGGGCTTACTGAGGGGTTAATCTTAATTAAGTTTAATACAAGTCAACTCTATGACATAACCAATAAATATTGAAATCAGGCTGAAAAGAAAGAACAGCACTTAACAAAGTGACATGCATCCCAATTCACTCCATGTTATTGAAGGCTTATATTTAGTTCTCTCTCAGCTCCCTTATTTGAGAAATGAAGACAGGAATTTCTGTTCCACATATTATACACATAAAGGACATAGCTTATGTATGGCAGAAGATATGTGTTCAGTTTTATGGTAGGTGATTGATGATGGTGATGATAGAAAATACTCAAAAGTGTAGAAGGAGACAGCAATTTGGAGAGCAAACGAATTGAACATGGTGTGGACTGGTCAAGGAGTTGGAGATGTTTAAGCCAGAGATGAGACAGCTCTGTGGATATATAAGAACTATTTTGTAAGAACTGAAGAGTTGGAATATGATAGAAGGTATTGGGGGTTCTATGATTATCGAGGGTATTAATCAAGATCCATGGGAAGAGAGAGAGAGAGTCCAACTATCAACATTAAGATACAGAGATACACACTTGGCCTCCCACAGTGATGACTTCTGCAGGACAGGAAAGCTTCAATCATAGTCTTGATTTTTAAATATGGTTGTTATGGAGAAGGCTGGTTACACATGCTTTACGGTAACTATCAGCCTGGAGATTCTTTAGTTTTGTAAATATTTGACAAAGTAAGATATAACCATAAGGCCACAGGTCTTACTTTATAGACATGAAATGAGACATGGTATAGAATGTTCAGTCTTAATGTTTAAGTGTTGTTGATCTTTAATGCTTATAACTCTGAGTCCTCAATTGCTTCCAAATGGAAGGTGGTTTTGATTATGGTTTTCTTTTTTCCTAATAGTCTACTTAAAGGCTGCCTTACAGTAGAAAATGTGTTTTAAAACCACAGGACCTTGTGACGCTTTTTTGAGGTGCTACTCTCTGTGACCTTGGGTTAGAAATTTAGCCTTCTGGGCCTCAGTTAACTCTTCTGTACAAAGGGCACAATAAGAATTCCTAGTAGAATTGGAACAGGGATAAAATTAGATAAAATTTGAATTGTTAGGTGAGAAAAGCAGTAGCATGATTTTCCACTCAAATGAGTTCTTGACTAGGTAGGTGTTTTGAACTGCTTTGTTTAGCTATAATTCTTATTCAGAAATATGATTTTTAAGGAAACATTGAGGGAAAAAAATAATTTTCAGAGAACATATTGACTTCTTTGTTGAACTTAGCAGTGTCCCTATTTGCCTTGGGTAACTCCTCAGAAAAGGGGGAAAAAACAGGATATTTGCAAGGGCATGTAAACATCCATCTGTTTTGAATAAAAGGGAGGTGGCTGGGGAGGGCAATGACTCGAAATCTTTTCTGTCAGCTCTGTAAAGCATTTAGAAGGTTAGGTTTCTATAATGTTGCTTTCCCATCATTTCCCTAATGATGAAACCTTCTTAACCTCATTTCTAAACAGGACGGGAAGATATTCTGCCGACGGACAGCTTGTGATTGCCAGAATCCAAGCGTTGACCTTTTCTGTTGCCCAGAGTGCGACACCAGAGTCACAAGTCAATGTTTAGATCAAAATGGACATAAGCTGTATCGAAGTGGAGACAATTGGACCCACAGCTGTCAGCAGTGTCGGTGTCTGGTATGTCAGCTTGCTGTAGATGGTGACATCCTGTACTTTGGAAGAGTTTATAAACTCAGGGTTTAGAAATTTGGCTGGTTCCCAACTCCTTCTGTTACCTTGGAGGGAGTTTTGGGGCTATGGCTAACCAAGGGGCATATGCTCTTCCTGAAGACATTCAGATTGTATGTAAAACACTATGCAGAACAAAAACAATGTATTTATAGAACAGATTTGACCTAAGCAATGTTAGTTTACAGGTATTATTTCTTAGGAAGTCTGTATCCAGAAAAATCAGCATTTTCTGATACTTATGGTCTTTATAGAGCCCAGTTTTTATTTCTTCTTCCATAAGCATTGGATGTTTTGACATGAGATGTAACTCAATATAGTAGAAATACCAGAGAGATTGAATGATAGAGACCTAGAATACAATTCAGATTCTCTCATGTGCTAGCTCAGTATAATTATGTTGGACAGGTCTTATCTATTCACTCATCATTCTTTTCCTCAAATGTGCATGGTTGTATGAATAGCTGTTTCATAGGACTCTTAGGTATGTGAAGGACAAATACAGTACTTGACACATAGACAGCACTTACGTGGTTGCTACATTGTTAGCTATTTCCTACCTTCAAAAATCAGTTTCAGAGGCCAAACATCCATGCAGACAAATGGAGGTTACCTTAAATATTAATATAAGGACATTAATAGTATAATGAAGTTTCAGAAGTCCAGAGAAAAGGCTTGATATTTGGACCTGATTCATTCTGTTTCAAAGTATACTGCAAACCATGATTTCCAAGGATAGGAAGGCTTTTAGGACATATTTTTTTTCATGAATGTGGTGTTTTATCTGTGGGTAGGTTTACAACTATGGATAATTCTGCATGAGTCAACTTGAAATGGACACTCTTAGCTGGAGTTTTAACATTTGTTGAAGTATGAATGCTATATGTGTACTATACAAGTACTCTACAGAAACACACATTCAGAAAAAACTATACTTTAAGTTTCCATCAAATTTTCTGAAGTCTCCAGGCAAAATGTGCAGATCATCTTAGTAACATAATCCTTGTATTAGGACTGTATCAGTCCTTTAATTTTGAGGATTATAACTCAGAAATTCAAATTGCAGTGGCTGGGGTTGTGACTCATCAGCACAGTGGTCACCTAGCACATGCAAAGTGCTGGGTTCGATACTCAGAACCACATAAAAATAAATACATAAAATAAAGGTATTGTGTCCAACTACAACTAAGAAAAAATTTTAAAAAATAAATTCAAATTGCAGCAAACATTTTTTTTCAAATCCTCATCTAAGGATGAACATATCCAATATGACTATAGGATTGGCTTCCATACCAGCCTGGGATACTGCATATCTTTTTCTAGAAGCCAATAATTGGGTAGCCAGAAGAATTGGTATTAATTTTATATATGGAATTTTCACATATAGAATTTGAAAACATATATTCTGTCCCCAGTCTCAATAAAACAGAAGATGTTGAACACTAACTTAAAAATTACTCGAAAATGATGTGGGTCATATTTAATAAATATTTATCAGGACTTTGCCTGTGTCAGACTCTGGATAATAGTGAGTGAAACAAAAATGATCTATATCTGTAAAAGCCTAGAGTCTTGTAAAGCTGACTGAATAATTAGTTACCATGTGTTATAATAAGTGTCATGATAACGGAAAAAGAGGCTGCAGAGAGAAGCAGTTCTATTACAAGGAGCTCAATGGAGTCCCAGTTGGCAGATGCTGAGACACATAGATAGAAATTCCATTTAAACTGAAATATAGTTTTTTGAATGAAACTGAAAACTTTTTTGAAATGGTTCTTCTGAAAATGCCCAACTTCAACTTTAAATTTGTTACTGGCAACATTTTAGTCAGCTGTTTTATTGCTGTGACTAAAAGACTTGACCAGAACAATTTTAAGAAGGAAAAGTTAATTTGGTCGGCTCAGGGTTTCAGAAGTCTCAGCTCACAGACAGCTGGATGCATTCCCCAGGACTTGGAGTAAGGCTGAACATCATGGCAAAAGTGTGTGGCAGAGGAAAACATTGGGGACTTGGTACCAGGAAGGAGAAAGATGGGGCTCTTTGTTGAACAAGGACAGAATATATATCCCAAAGGCATGCCTCCAGGGACCCACCTCCTCCAGCCATAACCTACCTGCCCATAGTTACTACCCATTTAATCCCTGCCAGGGTAACACACTGATTAGGTTAAGACTGTCATAACACAATCATTTCACGTCTAAACTTTCTCGCATAGTCTTACACATGAGCTTTGGGGGATACCTCGTATCTAAACCATAACATAATCAGTTTATGAAGTTGTTGGGATATTATATTTCATGTTCTACTTTTGACCTTAAGTGAAATTAGTATCTCTTACCACCATATTTATTTATTCATTTTATTATTATTTCTTCACCAAAAGTGTGCTAAATATAAGGAAGAAAAAGAAACTAGCCCAAATCCTGAAATTTCAAAACTTAATGAGAAACAGTACTGATGATTATGATATAATCATAGTATCATACTAAAAATAATGATGGGCTGTGTTTGACAACACAAACTGTTGACCTAACTCTTTCTATAGACCACAGAAAGAGGAAAGACCATCAACAAAGGGATCCTGAAGAAGGTTGATAACTGTAATTGTCTTTAAGAGGGAAACCCACTAGTGTGCTAACCAGTAACTTTCAATGATGAGAATGGTGAAAATCACTGTGCTCTCTTTCCTTTCATAGGACTTTGGGATAAAATTGTGCCTAGGAACCATGATGCGTCATTCTTGGCTTTCTCTCCACAGGAAGGAGAGGTAGATTGCTGGCCACTCGCTTGCCCCAATTTGAGCTGTGAATACACAGCCATGGTGGAAGGGGAGTGCTGTCCCCGCTGTGTCAGTGACCCCTGCCTGGCTGATCACATTGCCTATGATATCAGGAAAACTTGCCTGGACAGCTACGGTGTTTCTAGACTCAGCGGTGCAGTATGGACCATGGCCGGATCTCCCTGCACAACCTGTAAATGCAAGGTAAATTGGGTGCCCTGAAATGTTCAGGCTTGAACAGTTTATCAGAACATCTGCAGGAGGTTTACTCTGGTTTCTGAGTGTGTAGGTTCCATGGGGCCTTGTGGACACAGGCCTTTACATCCCATAGGATGTTCATATATCTGAATGGGTCATAGCTGCACCTTGTATAAAGGCTAGTTCCAAATGAGCAATGTAGAATAAAACAGTCTAGCTTGATTTTAAATTACAGAACTTTAACAACTGACTCAGCCCAATTTTATGCCATTTTGACCTGTATGTTAGAAAAAGAAAGGAAGAAAATGAAAGAAATGAAGAGAGAAAGAAAAAATATCTACTTCCTTTCATGCTGGAAAATTTTATGAGTTCCTTCATGAAACTGTCAATGATAGAAAAAAATCACTATTCTGTGATGATGGTCATTCTGTTTAATTATCAAAGTGCCCATTGGGGAATGCCTTAATGATTAATGTTATTAATGTGAATTTCTTTTTTCTAACCTGGAAAATATTATCTGAAGATGTTGCCTCAGTAGGAAAAGGATAATATCAGACTTCACATAGCAAGAGAGCTATGGCCCCATTTGTACCCTCCACCAGAGCAAACTAAGTGACCAGGCTACATTAACACTTGTATTATTTAATATTATTTTTGATATCATATATGAGAGTTATAAAAAATTATGAAAGCATATAGAGATTATTACATGAATTTGATTCTTAATGAATTCTTAAAAATGTATACAACTGGATAAGCACAATCTCCTTCTTAATCATCATATGAGACATTATATTGATCTCTAAAATGCAGGCCTTTCTGGAACCCATCTTGGATTTGTCTTCAGATTCTTGTGATGCTTGATTAGCCCTTTAAGAGGCAAATCATCATCATTAAGAGATTTATTTTTGGAAAGAATCTTACTTGGAATAAGTCTAGTCTAAATAAGTTTTGTGAAAACTTGGATCGGTGGATCAGTATGTCAAGCATACATTGAGTGTGTAAGTAAGGCCATATGTGGCCCTGCCAGCAGAACCCCAGCAAGAGGAGACCCTGAAGGGTTGATCCATGCTTCCTTCCCTTACATTCCTTCATACGTGCTTTTGTAGCATCCTTTTTAAATAAAGATCACAGACTCCTTGCTGATGGACTTACATGTCTCCCTACATTAACACTTTTGTCCTTTTTGTACAGAATGGGAGAGTCTGCTGTTCTGTGGATTTGGAGTGTCTTCAAAATAACTGAAGTATTTAAAATGGACTCATCAGAGGAGAAAAAATGGACAAAATGATCATCCAACATGATGAAGAATAAGAGTTGATTTTTTTAACCACAATTACCAAAGTCTCCACTGGAGGAAGTTTGTTTGGGGGTCGCCTTGTAGACCTGCCACTTTGCTCATTCTTGCTAACCTAGTCTAGGTGACCTACAGTGCAGTGCATTTAAGTCTATGGTTGTTAAGAAAAGTCCTCGGTGTTGTAAATCACATTTCCCTTATCAGATCATTTGCAAACACATTTAAATGATCTCATGGTAAATGTTGATGTATTTTTTGATTTATTTTGTGTACTAACATAATAGAGACTCAGCACCATTTATTTATTTATTTTTCTTGATTTTTGGATCAAATTCTAAAAAAAAAAAAAATAAAGTTGCCTGTTGTGATATTGTCCCATCCACTGTATACTGTGAAATGTATTGAAAAAAATATCTATGTGGAGTCCAATTGCATCATACTTATATTTCAAACTGTTGAACAGAATTAGAGACCCACTCATCCAGCTTAAACATGCCCAAGGCAATTATTATACCTTAAAGTGGGGAAGGACTCCAAACACAATTCAATAATTATTTAGAAAAGGACTCTATCCTCCCTTCTGCAAATAAAAAAGAAAAAGAAAAAGAAAAAATAAATACAAAATGTTAACTTGCAATTTAGAAGCAGCAATGCTTAAAACATTTTTTAGCAGTGAAAGCAAAAATATCTTTGCATTGGTTTTATGTATAATTTCATAACTAATAAACAACTTTAATAGTTATTGATGTAAGTTATCATCATAGTACAGATGAATGGGATTATCCCTCTATTATATACACATGCACTTGAGAGTCTGATCAACCAGCTTTTTCAGTGTTAGTTGATTTACAGCATGTAAATGGTTACCGTGGTTTGGTAACCAAGCCCCTCAATTCTTTTCCAGTACTGTTTTATAGTAAAACACATTGCCTTTCATATGGAGAAAGAGGACACTTGAAAAAAGTCTATTCGTGTGCTCTGTTACTTTAGAACAATGAATACTTCCACATAAGCCAGTACAATAGTTTTAAAACTTGAAGCTATTAAGTTATATAAAATTAACAAAATATGTAATGACATTTTAACTGAGCTGAGAATTCAAACCTTGGTTTTACTTTCAGATAAATCACATCTTCTTCTGGATTAAGTTAGTTCAAGAGTTTTCTGCTCATTCTTCCAACATCAAACATCTTACCTTGTTATGTCAGTCATGCTAAAAATATTTAAATCCTAAAATAATTATTAGCTTAAAATTATGATCTTCAATCAATATTATTATTGGTTTTTGTCCAATAGATAATATTTTTGTGAAAATGAAGTTCACTAATGAAATCAAGTTTATGTTATATATGAGAAAAGCAGTTGAAATTCTACATCTGTCAAAGACTGATATAATGTGATAAATTAGAGAACATTTCTATTTTAATTTAATTCCTTAAATGAAAGCTTGGAGTGAAGAATTTGAAGATTACTCTTTTGAAAATATTAATAACTATCCAATTAAAAGAACTTCCAATATTGGTGGTAAAATGAGGACATTTAAAATAATTGTTTGTGATTTTATATATCTGGAATTGTATATAGTGGAACTATGGACCCATGTGTCAAAACCAACCCTTTTCCTATTTGGAACACAGATAGGTCTGTCCATTAATAGGTTTTCTACAGTTGTAGAGATAGAAAGGCAGAGTTGGGTGGTTCCCATAAATACCTTGTTGTTCACAAAGCCAAAACTGTTATTATGTTTTCCTGTGCAGGAAACCTTTATGTATCTCTGATATAGATGATGACTGCATACTGTTGTGTATTTGAGAAGTGTTTCCACTTTTTTTTTCCCAAGACATTCTCAAAGCTCAACAGGTTTTTTTTAATTTGAATATGTTCTTACTTTATTGCAGTTCCATTAGGATTGGTGGCAACATCCTAAAATACTCTGATTTTACAAATACAATCATAAGACTCAATATTTTCTTCTTTCCACTTGAGAACTGATGGGGTAAATTTAATCTGGGGCAACTTGTTGACAACATGTTATTGGTATTTCTAGCACATTTTAAACCACTGCCAGTTCCTCTTAATAAGGTATATACACCTATAAAACAATGGATGAGATTCACTTTTTAAATAATGATTGAGTCAGGAAGGGTGTTGCATACCTATAGTCCCCATCACCCAGGGCGCTGAGATGAGAGGCTTCCTTGAGCCCATGAGTTTGAGAGCAGCCTGCACAACATAATAAGACCTTATGAACACCCCCTCTTTATATATAAGGTACTTTATATATAAGGTACATGCTATTCTCTACTGAAGAAATGAAAAGATAAATAAAACAGAACTTTATTTTAAAGATAAGCATTATGTGGACCTTCAGAAGGTACTAACAATCTTTTTTTTTTAATCTTAGCTGTTACAACATGAAGACACACACATATAAAGTCAGGAGATTTTAATATTATTCATTATTCCAGTGGGGAATAGGTATGGGCATCAGGAAGAGCTGATTTCAGTTCTCTTTAATACATTTCTCTACTTATTCAGGCTTTCTTTTTTCTTTTTTTTTTTAAAGAGAGAGTGAGAGAGGAGAAAGAGAGAGAGAGAGAGAGAGAGAGAGAGAGAGAGAGAGAGAGAGAATTTTTAATGTTTTACTTTTTAGTTCTTGGCGGACACAACATCTTTGTTGGTATGTGGTGCTGAGGATAGAACCTGGGCCGCTCACATGCCAGGCGAGCGCGCTACTGCTTGAGCCACATCCCCAGCCCCCGGTACTAACAATCTTTGAACCCATTCAGATGTTCTAAGCAAATATGATACTACCTGAAATATGCTCTTAACCATGAAATTTTAAAAGTTACTTTTTAAAAGTTTGGGGGCTGGGAATATGATTTAGTGATAGAGCATTTAACTAGTGTATGGGCCCCACAGGATTTAATCCCCAGCACTGTAAAAACAAATGTACACAAATAAATAAAAATCTGGTAAATCTCCTGCTAAGAATATGTTTAGCTACCATGCAACAATTTGCAATGTAAAATTGGTGTCCATTTAATGAGCCAAAGCAATGTTTGACAAATCTGTCTCCTTACAGACCACAACCATTGCCTGTACCACCTTGAACACAAAGTTGCTGACATAATAAGGCCAAGAAATATGAAAAAAACACATGAGCAATTGCAGCTATCCTCCTAGTGTTCCTAGTGGGAAAGGCTTGTGACTCAGGAGAGCAGATTATTAAGGCAAATGCAAGTTCTATGTTAGACACATGTCTATTAAACACACATTTGCTTCATTCTTTCTAGGTTGCATATGAACAGATATATGTGCACATATAACAGATTTGTTACACAAAAATTGCATATGGACATATATAATATTCATTTGCAACCTGTAATGCATATTTATATTACATATATTCATATGCAACATGCATATATACATATATAACAACTATCTTAAGTTTCCTCTCTTCTGAACTTTATGTATCTGTGCTTATGTCACTGTTATGTCTTTCTAATACACATTTACCTTGTATTATGGTAACCTTAGACTGGGTGAGGCTATAAACCAACTGTGTATGGATATTATCTTAGAGCATTTAACATAGTGCCTTGCATAGAATGGATTTTCAATTAAGTCTTTAAATATTGAATTCATATTTTTCTTATTATAAAAAATATACCAGGATATTGAAAACAATCTACCCTAGAAGATTTCAAATGCTCTTAAGTACTAAGAACTAATTGAAAAAAATCAAAATTTATTGAGCTCTCCAGCATAAAAATTGAATTAAAGCAAGGTTTCTCTGGATAGATTGGGGGTGTAGTGGTAGGGCTTTTGGGATCCCTTCACATACTTGACCCCAGCTTATAGCTTTCAACAGAGCACAGCTGAACAGCTATTCGACTAACTCCTCAAATATACTTTTATGGATGAGTAAACCAGCACTCAGTGTAGCTAAGTGACTTGTGCCCAGAGTTCACAACTAATTAATCATAGAAAAATAGGTCTGTTTATCCCCATGCCAGCTTTCCAAGAATTGAAAATGTATATCTACATTTCAATTTCAAGATAACTTTTCCTACTCCTAAGTGGATGACATTAAAGACAATCATGGATGAGATATTATATCTGTTATTGTCTCTGTGTTCTATCTCCCTTCTAATTGTGCTACTGCTTTATGAAAATCTTCATGATGGTTTTGTGAAACATTCAGATTACAAGACTGGACAACATTTTCAAATGCAGAATAACAATAAGCCACTTACTCAATCACCTAATCTCAGTCTTTATGGGTAAACATTAAGGAAAAATAAAACAGTTTCCAAAACCAACTATTTCTTAAGACTTACACACACCAGTATATGATGAAATATGGCATTGGAAGGAATTCCTACATAGATAATCTGATTTCTGATTTCATTATTCATTCACCATTTATTTTATCATTAAGACAGTGACAATGTAGCAGGCTCTTCAGAAACAGAGAAGAATAAGAAAAAATTGGTCACTATCCTTATGGCATTTGTAACTTAATGTGCAAAAGAAGTAAACTAGAAAATATTTACTTGAGCAATATAATATTAGGCTATATTAATACTAGGAAGAAAAAAAAGTGAATTAAAAAAAATGGAGATGAACTGGAGAATCTCACTTCAAAATAATCAAGGAAAATCTCTAAATGGAGGGTGATAAGCAAGGAGGGATGGAGAATGTGGAGTAGTCACCTGTGCACAAGGCTGTGGGAATATCTTCCCAATCAAAAGAAGTAAAGGCTAAAGACTGCAGGAGAAAGACACTAGGTACGTGAAGGTCATGAGTGGAACCGAAGGCTAAGTAAAAGAGCAAAGATATGAGGTTGCAGGAGTTGACTAGAGCTGGACATTACAGTCCATGATAATGTGAAGGCCCTGGTCATTCTGGAAAATGAAAACATCAGTGGGAAGTTACTAAAGGAGTAAGCATTTATTTACTCACCTTTTCATTCATTCACATATTTGTGCCTTTTTAGATATCAATTAGTCTATATTTACTATTCTGAAAACATGAAACTCCTGTTATGTACCTAGGAAAAATATCAGTGAGAACAATATTTTTCCGTTAGGAATTGAAGCTCTGCACTGTGCTATCACAAAGCAATCAAACTACATAAGATGGCATGTCCAGAAATAAGGTCAAGGAATACATCAAAAACTGGATCTGTAACTTTTTTTTTTCCCTCTGCAGTGCCCTCATTTAAATAATTAGTTCTTGACCATTTGAATAATAGTAAGTTCAGTAGTTTGTGACAGTGATATCATCTTGGCTTATAATACCAGTGCAGGGTAATAGAACACTGAAGAGGATAAGAGTCTGTTGGATTAATCTAGAATAGTAACAACAAACACTATCCTTAGAACAGTGCTAGAATGTAGTAGCCAACGCCCCAAGTCTCGCCAAATAAGGAAAAACTTTGGTGAGAAATGATTTAGGTTACTATAAAAATGATACATACCTAATTTTTTTCAGAAACATTTTAATACCTGAAGGTGATAAAAAATTTTTTAAGGTAAGAGAAATTTATAATTGAGACAAAGCAATAATTAGAAACTAAAATATCAGAAAGATTTAAACATGTGAAAATGCAAATTTACCTGAAGAAACTGGCAGTTGATATGCCAATCTCATAAGATAAATGATATTTCCCAAATTTTGTTATATTTTAGCTCTATGGTTTTGAAAATGAAGGTGAAGGCAGTGAGCATATGTCTTTTAAATGCAAAATAAAATACATTAATTTATCAAAAATATCCAACAGTAACTTCAGCCCCTTAGGAAACTTGAAGACATTTTTGAAGAAAACAGACCCAAATCTGGTATACTACATGTTTAATGATCGAAAATAGTGCAGTATGGTCTTCAATCATGTTTGCAGAAAGAGCTGAAAGGATTCTGTGCAGACAAGGCAGTCCCAGGGAAGAATTTATCTTAGGTGATTTTATGTAGGAGGTTTTAAAATGACATTGAATGAATGGGTCACTAAGCTAGAAAATCAGAGTGACAAAAGCTTTAAATAGATTTTAAAATATCAAGTATAATAAGGGACAATGTAATTTAGAGGAGTCCCTAGAGTAAGTGGAAAGAAAGAAGTGACCCAGAGTGCATACCTCAGAGGGCTCAGGGGATTGCCAGCTCATTATTGCCCATTGAAAATGTGGGCCCAGTATTCCCAAACTTTTCCATTTTTCAAGATAAGTCATAAATCTGGAATTTAATGTGTGATATTATGAGTTTTAAATTTCACATCCAAGTTTAATAGAATAAATCTGGACCATACAAAACATGTCTGTAGACTGATAGTACCCACAGGATCAATTTTTCACACACCCCTAGTTTAGAGCCACAGGAAACCCTGTAAGTTATCTAATGCTCCTTCAAATTTTATAGGTCAGTAAATCAATTGCTTTCTCCTTACTCTGCCTGCATATATACCCTCCTCCTTTTTTCATTTATTTTAATCATACAGCATTTATTTGCATGTAAATCCAAGAATTTCCTCCGTATGTTTTGCCTCTCTCCCTGAAAGTGTGAATGTTGATATTCCCATTGAATAGTTCAATTCCATGGAATGACAACCCTTGCTTCTTAAGTGAGTGCAACATCAACATCATGCTTAACTGTTGAAAGCATCATCATTCACCATAAAGATCTCTATTTCCCCAGTGGTGTGTTTGGAGAAAGTACTCATTCCTAAGGCTTAAGATTGAGCTGTTCATTGCTCAGGCAATGAATATGGGGTTAGTTCACATAGGCATGTTGATTATGATGAAGTTTTATGGCAGTTGAATGGAAGAGTAAGAAACCTGGCTCAAGATCTTCTGTGCTCCAACCTCACACTGATTCATAAGCAGATAAACCAAAGCAGACTAAGGAGGACCTGTTAGGATGAGACAACAAAAAGCACAGGGCCTGTTGGCAGGCCCTCAGAACA